TGTCTGTCTGTCTGTCTTGGCACCCAAGCAAGCTCTGGCGCCAAAATTTTGCAGGTGGTTCCCCGGCCAGATGGCACCCCAGGATCGCGGTACCAACCCTCATGCAAGTCTGGGCCCCGCGTACGAGGGGGTGAAAGTTTTGGCGGGAAAATCGCTAACTCGAGAACCAAAAAAGCTAGAAAGCTGAAATTCTGAGGTTACGTTCCTCGTGTACGTAGGACTCAAGGATTTCAAATTCGGCCTCCAGATGTGCGTGGTTCCCGCGTATGGCCGCGTGAGGGTTCCTGGCGCGAAAATCGCTAACTCAGGAACCGGGAAAGCTGGGGGGCTGAAAATTTCAGGGAATGTCCATAACCGTTCAACTTAAATTTTTCAAATTCAGCCCCTCAGCATGAGTGGTAATCACGTACGGCCCCATGAAAGTTTTTGGCGGGAAAATGGCTAATTCAGGAACCAGGAAAGCTGGGAGGCTGGAATTTTCAAAAGATACTGCTAACACATTTTCGGCTTAAAATTATCAAATTCAGCTCCCGAGCATGCGTGGTTCTAACGTGCGACTCCGTGAAAAGTTTTTGGCGCGGAAATGGCTAACTCGAGAATCAGGAAAGCTGGGGAGCTGAAATTTTCCGGGAATGTTCCCAGCCCATGTACGACTTAAATTTATCAAACTCAGCCCTCGGGCATACGTGGTGTCACGTACGGCCCCATGAAAATTTTTGGCCGGAAAATTACTAACTCAAGAACCAGAAAATTTGGAAAACTGAAATTTCAACAAATTTTCCCCCGTCCACACTTCCCGGATTTCGAGGATCAGTATAACACACATTTCTAGCTACTGGGTTCCGAGCGTTCTCGTTACAGCATGAAATGTTGCAAAAGCGCATGATCGCACGGGCCCGCCCAGTGCGCGTCGCCAGTGATTTATACCAAGACTGCCTGGACGGTCGGTGTGCGAATAAATATTAGTGATGTTGCTGACATGCTCCTACATGTTGGGCGTTCGGTCTTGGGCTGTATGCTTCATGTATTTTTCAAAAAGAAATTTATAAAAATACATGTTTTCTGATTTCTCGCGTTCTGTGTGTTTTTTTGCAGCTATGCAATGCAGAAAACGCATATCGATGAGGGGTTGTCTGTGTGTTCGTCTGTACCGATTTTTCATCTCGAGACCTACAAAAGCTTCGGGGCTGAGCAAAAAAAAATTTTCGAAACTTAATCTACACGCATGTGCGGGCCTCCATCCCCAAAAAGGGCGCTCTTACCTGCGTGGTACCCACGTACGAGCCCGCCAAAGTTCTTTACGGGCAAGCTGCTAACTCGGAAAACAGCGAAGCTGGAAAGCTGCAATTTGAAGGGGACGTTCCACGCCCAAGTGAGTATTAATCCAGCCCCCAGGTATGCGTGGTACCCGTGTACAGGTCCGTGAGATTTTTTTTCGGGTAATTTGTTAACTCGGAAACCTGAGAAGCTAGAAGACTGTAATTTTGAGAAAATGTCCCCCGTCCACGTAGGTGTTGTTGAGTTCAAACCTAGACACCGAGTGTATGTGGTACCCACGTATGGGCCCGCCAAAGTTTTTTCGAGTAAGCTGCTAATTCAGGAACCTGAGAAGCTGGAGGATTGGAATTTTAAGGGGATGTTCCCTATTCAAGTATGTGTCAATGAGTTCAAACCCAGACACTGGTGGTACCCACTTAAGGGCTCGTGAAAATTTTTTTCGGGTAAGTTGCTAACTCGGGAATCAGGGAAGCTAGAAAGCTGAAATTTTAAGGGGGTGTTTTCTGACAGTTCTGGCGGCCGGTCTTAATTTGTTTGGCTAGAAGCATTTGTCAGAAAAACCGGTGCCGGTAGCGACAAAAACTGCGGGGAACTATACAAAAAACGCATTTTCACACGGGCAGCCCATGCGTTGGGCAGTTATTTAAATCCTGTTTTCTTTTTTATTAAATCGAAATATGTTCTTGTTTTCATTCTCTTTCTATTTTTTTCATTCTCTTTTTAAATAATTTTATGATTTTTCCGTTCGTTTTTGTAATCTGACAAACAGTTTTCTTCTCATTATAAAAAACAAAACTAGCTGAAAGTGTCTTTATGAAAAAAACAGAGTCAAAAAAATCTCGATTACTTCAGCAGTTGTGGAATGTTGACGTACAAAAAAAAACATCGATAATTGATTGTCATAAACTAATAAATTTGATAAGTTGAATGCTAATGAATTTAGGGGGTGGCAATGCCAGTTCCGACATTGCCGACCTCACTTTGTCGGTACTTGTATTTAAATGCAGCAGACTTCCTACTAGTCCCCCGCTTCTCCTCTGTCGTTATTGTCGATGACATTTTAGTCCTCAACTGCCCGGACTTTCTTCCCCTTCGCCTAAACATATATGGCCAGGACCTAGGCATAGATTGCACAGGTTCAGGTACTACCGTCAACTACTTGGACTTAACCCTTTCCATAGACTGCAATGCTAGCATTGCCTCTTCACTTTACTGTAAGACCGATCTGTTCACCTTTCCTATCATTAAGTACTCCTCTCTTCGTAGCAATTTACACCCCTCTGTCCACAGCGGTATCGTTTATAGTCAGCTCAATAGATACTTGGTGGACCTGTGTCACCAGCTGATACGCGCTCTTCTACAATAATTGTATCACCCAACTTGCCCACACACGTCGCTTTGTTAACATTCCGTTCATATAGCTACTTCCTCCTCTCCATGCTTTTCCACTTTATATTGCAACTTTATAATCTTCTCCAGCTGCTCCAAAATTTGATATAATTAAAACATCTCTCTCTTGTCTTGTTCTTCTTCTCTCTTCCTGCCTTCCATTCCTTTTTTCAATCATCTCTGAACACCGCAACCGTCATACTGACGAGGTCCGCGGTGTTGAGCTAGGACGTATATGACTTAATGGACCGAAACGTCTTAGTTCTTACTCACTTATTTTTCCTACACCAGCTATATTTCTACACCTGTACATACACAGTTAGTTCTAGTCCTGCCCTCTTTAAGTTCTTAATTTTACTTGTATGCTACAACCATGCAAGAATCAGCTTAGCAAAAAAAAAGGATTAAATGGTTACCCGCCTTTGCATCAAAAACTCTAGACTCTGATCTAAAAAGCGCCTGCCAAACAAAGTCAGGCGCCAGACCCGCTGTGTGAGACTGCACCGTATGCACTAGTTCAGTTTTATTACGAACTTTCCAAACAGTCGATTTTTTCTAACCATCCTTTTTTGTCACCTCTTTTTCTTCTCAAATAATGCTCAGAAATACTTTAAAATCTTAACAAGATTCAGTTAAAAAGGTTAAGTTCAGAGGAAGCAAACATTAATTCTTTTGATATTAAACGGCACATACTTTGGACCTGAAATAGCTGCCTTCGGCTTGTGGGATGCATCCCGGTAACACCAAAGACACGGGATACCGTGCCAGTTATCCGAGCGGTCTTGGTATTCTTTTTATGCGTTTTGTGCTGTACATACTCAAAAAATTTGGCCTTCTAGCTTCCATGGTTCCCGAGATAGTAGTTTTCCCCGCCAAAACCCAGCCCATGGCGTGTTCCCTCAACATACATTGTCACGGGGTTGTCTGTGTGCGTGTGTGTCCGCAGCAATTTGTCCGCAACTTTCTACTCGGGAATCACAAAAACTAGAAATGAAAATTTAAGGGGATGTTCCCCACCCACGACCCCGCAAATTTAAAACCAGCCTCTCCGTACACGCGAGCAACACGTACGTCCCCACAAAAATTTTAGCGGAGAAAATTGTTATTTCAGGAGCCACGGGAGCTAGAAAGCTAAAATTTTATGGGTATGTCCCCTGCCACGTGTATACCCTCAAATTTAAATTCAGAACAGTGGAAATCATTGGCAAGCAATTGTTCGGTGGACGAAATTGCACAAAACGCATAATCTTGCACCTAATGCCCTGGTGCGAGCCGCTATTTATTGCTCTTGTCACTGTAGCTGAACTTCTCAGTTCAACACTAGTACCACTGTTGACTGTATATTTTGTAAGATTTAGGGTAGCTTATTTCTCCTTAGCTATGAGTCACTGGACAAAAAACTGAGTTAGTCCAAGAAAATGAACTACAAGAGCTGAAGATATAATGTTCCATCCCATTTCATGAAGTCTGTGCATTTGGATTTAGACAGATGCATTTCCATACACAAAGAAACGTAAAATATTCCGTATAAAAATAACAAAAAAAAAAAAAAAACAAACTGTTGGTAGCAGTAGCTTTCCGTTTTCGATCACAATCGGATCAACAACGCCATGAGGTGGTCCTGGCATGTATTTGACGTTAGCATTTTTACCCACTTTGATCCTTATACGGTCACCTTTCTTCACTCGCATTTCTCTACTTACGAAATCTTTGGAAAATTTCGGCCAGTCCGATTCTGAGGCTAGCGCTACAGCAAAAATAATGAAATATTGCACGATCATTTTGCGTTCTGCAAGCAGAGTATGAAAATTAGAAAAGTTATTGAAGTGCTAGACGAGGAGAAAAATTATTAGTAAGATTGTCAAAGCAAGCGAGAATGTCTGCCAGGATGGAAGCAAGGGAAGGAGGTTTGCCGAAGAAGCAGCTGCCCCACTTCAAGAGAAAGTTGCAAGTTTTTTTTTTCTTTGACATGTCAGTATTATAGTGATTATTATTTGTAACATTTAACGTTGGTTTTTTAAAATATTACTTAAAAATAATGCTAAACAGTTTTTGGTTTTATAGTACTGTGTTATCTATGGTTAAAGCAACCACAGCTACATATTTGAAAAATCAGGCAAAAAACTGCAACAATCCGGGTTTAAAGTCAACTGCGCATTCAGATCAATTAACATTAAACAAGGCATACAATTAACATTTTCTAACATCCATTGTTAGCTATGAAGTCAATAATTTTCAGCGCTCATTTTTTGTGCAATTGGCACTTTACAATCAATAATTTCTTGCATTCATCGTTAACTACACATTAATAGTCCTTAATTTTCTATAATAAACGATGAATGAAAATTATTTTCCTATGATTTTCTTTAAAACCGTGAGAAATTCATTTGCATTAGAAATTTTCCAAAAGGTTTTCTCACGGAACAGAACAAAACTTTCGACTGCGTGGCTACAAGTTCCTGCTGAACTTTAGCGTAGGCCTCCACTCTTCTGTCTATTCAGGAAGCGCTGATAGCTGGAAAATACGAAAGCAGCCGTGCAGTACGTAACGCAGCGAAGAAATGACCTATGTCTATGCCATGTTTCATTTTAAAATGCATTCAAATAATTTATATTTGTAAAAATCAATGTTTCATACTCATCGTTCAATCTAAAATGTTTTATTGATCTCTGCTTGCTCCCCTGCTTCTTGCGTGTTTACACTCAGTAGCTGCCGCACTGTTTGGTACTGCTCTACATTATCCGGGGCTGAGGAAGGTGGAAGGAGCCTTCAGAACGTTTGTTGAAGAAAGTTGCAAAAAGAACCAAATCACTGATTAAATAGAAGTGCTTCTTTTCTGAGACACATGGGAAACACGGTAGCTTTATTGTCGTTTCGTAGCCTAATTCTACATCTGCATGCTGTCGCTTGGATCTGTCGCTTTCTAAACCTGTGCCTTAAGCAGTGGGCATTGATCAATTATTCCATAATGTTTTGCAAAACATCATTATAATACAAGTGGAATATAATACTAGATACGAAAGTTCACAGAAAGTAAAAGGTCCGTGAGAAAGAATAGGTTTTAAGGTGCCATTAACTTTCCAGAACAAGGAATCCAAACTAGGAGGCCGTGGGGAGGACGAAGTTTTCGTAAGGGCAGAAGCATCAAAATGAAGGAAGGCTTTTCCCTACACAAGTTTATATAATTACGTTACCTCGATGGAAGATTAGCCGTCCAAAATTTAATCCCTATGTTTGTGAGATAAAAAGCAGGTGATTGATCGTCATGTAACATTCAAACTGTGAAACACCAGAGTGAGGGGCAGGACGGGGGGGAGGGGGTGAGGAGAGGGGTAGAGGAAACAATGTCCAAAAATTAATCCTTATGCTGCAGTGGGCGAAGGAAGGAAGCAGTTGATGAATTATTACATAACACTCACGTTTTGAAATATCTGAAAAAAAAAAAAACAATTATTCATCCACGCGATGAGTTACATAGGAATTTTTCAGGGCAGGAATATGCGAAAAAGAATTAAGGTTCTAGGTTGTCGAGGGAGGCAGATGAGGCGAACCATGCGAATGAGACCGCTTTTCCTTCTGTATCGAGGCAGCATCTTAGACGCCCGTATGAAGAAATAGCGGAGGAGAGGGAGTACAAATTTTTGGGAATGGATGCAAAAGTTGGCTAGAGAAGCAAAGATTTTGTTAAAATTGCATAAAACTTGGCGAAAAAATACAAAATTTAGTCGAGAAATTGTTCAACTTAAACACAGAGAATACTACCAAGTACATCAAGACGGCCCGTACTAACAGTGTGGTCATCTTATGTTCGTGATGTTACTGGGATACTTTATCTTGACGGGCGTTACTAGCCAGATCCTTCAATCCTGGATTACATACACTCAGTAAGTATCCGCTGCACCTTCGACCACATGCGCTATCTCCTCGGAAGTCGTCAATTGGTTTTCTTTCTCACGGATCAAAAAAAAATCCTCTCCTCACTCGTTCAGAAAACTGATGGCGGATTTTTTCGTGGGCATCACTGATTAAGACGCATTGTGTACTGCTCATCGGCTAGGCAAGCAACATACCCAACGGATTTTACATTCCTGCATGGTTTCAGAAATAGCCCGTACGCCTCTCATCAGGCGGATAATCTGACTGTTTTTGTAGTCATGCATATATTAGACATTCTTCGTTGCACCACTCCCTTCGCCACAGCCGGCACTCGTGTTTTAGCTTTTGTCAGTGGGGGAATTTCGCATTCGTACGTTATACCTTCAGCAGAATGATATTGAAGAAAAGAGTCTTTCCGGTTCAACACTTTGAGGAAATCATTATTAAAAAATTACAAGAACAAATAGTGTTTTTAATGTCGTTAATAAGAACAGTGATAATGACATTAGCACTACAATTTTTTGCAATAATTATGATAATAGCGGTGATAATGATAGCAGCAATAATAATAGTTACTATGACAAGAAACGAAATTAGTAGCTACGAAATTTATGTCTTAAAGAAAATACATTATTTCAGGATGGCGCACCACTGGTGCTTAAGCCGAACATAGAACTGAGTGCTGATCAAACTCAGCTGAAGATACATCACTCGAAGCTGCACGATGAAGGCCTGTACAGCTGCGTCGCTGTTAATCCGGCTGGAAATGCAACGCAAAAGCAGCAACTTTATGTTGGTGGTAAGCGATCCTGAAGTTTCTTTGGGTTTTCCTTAAATCATCCGGCATTTTTTGGTCAGCGAATGAGTCATATTAGCACTTTCGCTGCCCAGGAAAAATGAAGTCTTCAAAAGCCTTTTTCTAATCAGGCTGGGTGCGTATCCATTGTACTTTGCAACACTGCTAAGATGGCTGTGATTACTGAAAGAAACTTCACAAGTTATATTTCATTCAGTTCCACCACGGATAACGGAAAAGCCAAGACGAATTATCGTGAAAAGTGGTCAACCAGCCGAACTATGGTGTGAGGCAGTGGGCATACCGAAACCGCACATCACCTGGCTGAAGGACGATAAAGCATTGCCACAAAGTTTGCAAAATTAATGTTTTATTCAATAAATTACTAAAGGCTGTCCGGCATGGAGCACTAGCAATCAGCGCTAATTTCTTGCCAGAGGTTGATGTTTGGTTCCGCCAACGTGACATCTACTATCTCTATGATTCGTCCATTCGTTTCAATGGTAAAACGTGCCGGCACATACGAGGGAGTCAGACCTCTCAGCAACTTGCTTGTAACCAGTCCTTGAATGACAGAGCCATCGACAGCTTTCCGAAATTGTAATTGCTATTGGGTATGCCACATCTCGATCCTCATCTGCCTTTTAATGATGGTAGATTTTTTTTGGTCTTTGAAGCTGCTAAGTCTGATAAAGTCTTGTGCAGCGAGTCAGTAGCTTGCAACGCAGAGCATCGTTTGATATTCTATTTTGTTTGAGTTTCCTAGAGAACTGCTGCGTTGCTTTTGCAGCAGCTTTGGATGATCACTCGGAAATGCTCAAGTCAACTGCTCTATTCGCAAACGTATCAAGTCGAGATGCTGGTGTTTATACATGTAAAGCTGAGAACTGGGCAGGCACCAGTTATAAGGATGTCGATTTAGTCGTTCTAAGTCAGTAGTTATTTTGAGTAATCTGATTTTTTTCAAAAAGAATAAAAAAATTTTATACCACCAATATCCATGTCTATGACCCGAACATCTGAAACAGCTTTTTATTCAAAATCTGGTTCTTCGGTTTTGCAACTACTTCTTCAGTTGCTTTAACAAATGCTGCTTTACCCGGCGGTAAACTGCTGACTATCCTGCGTTTTTATGCGTTTTTTGCAGCTATGCGATGCAAAAACGCGTATTGTCGAGGGGTTGTCTGTGTGTGTGTGTGTGTGT